TTGCTTGGAAGACCGTTCATGGCCACCACCAACACCCTTATTGATGTGAAGAACAGGACCTTGATGATGACGGTTTTGGGAGAGACCGTGTCGATTTCCGTTAGAAATGCCACCTCGGCACCTTCGGCGAACTTCATCGAGGAGTGTGCACTTCTCGATATGGTGGACCCTATAGTTGAAGAGATGACCAACCGACAACTAGAAGAGAAATCCACACCCGACCTAGACGAGAAAGATGAACCGACCATTGACCTATTCGAAGCCGACTAACCCCGCGCACAAGAACCCACCTTGAAGCTCAAGGAATTACCACCACACCTCAAGTACGTATTCCTAGACGAGGAGAAGCTTAAGCCGGTTATCATATTTGCCGAGCTCGACCGAGACGAAGAAAGGGAGCTCATTGAGGTGCTTAAGAAGAATCAAAGAGCTATTGGGTGGAGTCTTGGGGACCTTAAGGGAATTAGCCCTTCCACATGCATGCACCGGATCGTTCTAGAAGAAGGTGCCAAGCCGTTCCGGGATAGCCAACGACGGCTCAACCCGAACATGATGGAAGTTGTGAAGAAGGAAGTGCTAAAGCTCTATTCCGAGGGACTCATTTTTCCGGTTGCCGATAGTGAATGGGTGAGCCCGATTCATGTAGTGCCTAAGAAAGGGGGCATTACCGTAATTGAAAATGACAAGAAGGAATTGATCCCCACCCGCATCACTACCGGGTGGAGAATGTGCATAGACTACCGGCGACTCAATGCCGTCACAAAGAAAGACCATTTTCCTTTGCCGTTCATTGATCAAATCCTCGACCGTCTCTCGGGCCATCAATTCTATTGCTTTTTAGACGGACTCTCGGGCTACTACCAAGTAGCCATCGCACCCGAGGACCAACCGAAGACGACCTTCACGTGCCCTTTCGGCACATTTGCCTTCCGACGAATGCCATTTGGACTTTGCAATGCACCCGGGACCTTCCAAAGGTGTATGTTCTCTATCTTCTCCGACATGCTCGAGGATTGCTTACAGGTATTTATGGACGACTTCTCTATCTTTGGTGATTCATTTTCTACATGTCTCCATAACTTATCTCGTGTCCTTGAGCGTTGATAGAGTCGAACTTAACATTGAGTTGGGAGAAGAGTCATTTTATGGTCCGAAGTGGTGTCGTGTTGGGTCATATTGTGTCTAGTCGGGGGATTGAGGTTGATAAGGCGAAAATCGATGTGATTGAAAAACTTCCCCCGCCTACGAATGTGAAAGGAGTTAGGAGTTTCTTAGGCCATGCCGGGTTCTATAGGCGTTTCATTAAAGACTTTTCAAAAATTAGCAACCCGTTGTGTCATTTGCTTGCTAACGATGTGCCGTTTGTGTGTTGATGATGCATGTTTAGATGCTTTTGCTACATTGAAAAATAAGCTTGTGACCGCACCTATTGTTGTTGCTCCCGATTGGTCATTACCTTTCGAAATTATGTGTGATGCATCAAATCTTGCCGTTGGAGCCGTTTTGGGCCAAAGAGTTGATAAATTGCTTCGTGTGATTTATTATGCTAGTTTGACCCTCAAAGGTGCCCAATTGAACTATACCACGACCGAGAAGGAGTTTTTAGCCGTAATTTTTTCACTTGAAAAATTTAGATCCTACATCTTGGGGTCTAAAGTAATTGTCCATTCGGACCATGCGGCCCTCCAGTATCTTTTGAGTAAGACTCAATCGAAACCGAGACTCATTCGTTGGATTTTGCTTTTACAAGAATTTGATGTTGAGATTAGAGATAGAAAAGGTTGTGAGAATGTCGTAGCCGACCATTTGTCGCGCATTGTTCCTAACGATCATTCACTCACTTTGCATGAACCTTTTGATATTGATGATAAATTTCCATACGAAAATGCGAATGAAGTGACTAATGTCCCTTGGTATGCGGATATTGTAAATTATTTGTCGGATGGAATTTTGTTGTCTAACCTCTCTTCCCAAGAGAGGAAGCGTTTTGTGTTAAAGTGTAGGGAATATTTCTGGGACGACCCGTTTCTCTTCAAGATAGGGAAGGATGAGATTCTTCGGAGATGTGTACCCGAAGATGAGCAATCGAGCGTGCTTGCCTTTTGCCATGAGCTTCATTGTGGAGGACACTTCGGTGGTCGAAAGACCGCCTTTAAGGTACTCCAATCGGGTTTATTTTGGCCAACTCTCTTTAAGGATGCTCATATTTTTTCTAAATCTTGTGATCGATGCCAGCGGATTGGGAATATTAGTTCTAGGAATGAAATGCCCCTTGTGAACAATTTACAAATTGAGATTTTTGACATGTGGGGCATTGATTTCATGGGACCATTTCCCTAAAAGCCTTGCTTTCCCCTTTCCTGGCTAAGTCATTTGGTTTCGAATATATTCTCCTCGCCGTAGATTACGTGTCCAAGTGGGTCGAGGCTATCCCCACACGGACGTGTGATGCTAATGTTGTGATTAAGTTTTTGCGAGGAAACATTTTGAGCAGGTTTGGATTTCCGAGAGCCATTGTGAGCGATGGGGGTAAGCATTTTTGCAACCAGACATTCGAAAAATTGATGAAAAAGTACGGGATATCACACAAGGTGGCCACTCCATACCATCCCCAAACTTCGGGCCAAGCGGAGACAAGTAATAAGCAAATCAAGACGATTCTCGAGAAGACGGTGAGCGCATCCCGAAAGGATTGGTCTAGTCGACTTGATGATGCGCTATGGGCCCAACGGACTGCCTTCAAGGGAGTATTGGGAATGAGCCCGTTTCGGCTCGTCTACGGGAAAGCTTGTCACCTCCCGGTTGAGATTGAGCATAAGGCGTTTTGGGCGATCAAGAAGATGAATTTCGATCTCGATGCCGCGGGCAAAGAGCGAACGCTACAACTCTCGGAGCTCGAAGAATTGAGAAATGAGGCGTACGAAAATTCCAAGTTATATAAGGACAAGATCAAACGACTACATGATGCTCGAATTGTCCGAAAAGAATTGACGTCGGGTATGCAAGTCCTTCTTTTTAACTCCCGACTTCGACTATTCCCGGGAAAGCTAAAATCTCGGTGGAGTGGTCCGTTCATTGTTGAGGAAGTCTTGTCTTTCGGGGCGGTACGTCTTCGGCATCCATCGACCGGTGAAACATTTGTGGTGAACGGACAAAGAGTGAAGCCGTACTTTGGAGGAGAGATCGAGAAAAAGCACGTCGAGACCGTCGATCTCGACGAACCACTCTACCATTGACCGAAAGTGTGTCGAGCTCCCGGCAGTAAACCGAGCATTTTGTACATATTTATATATT